CACACACACACACACACACACACACACACACACACACACACACACGCACTTACACTTACACACACGCACATGCACACACACGGACGCACACACACACATACACACCCACAAACACACACACACGAGCAGACTTACACATACATATTAGCTTTCTCTCATACTCTATACGTCTCTTTCCCTCTCGCTTTCTTTCTTTTAATCTGTCACTATCTCTCACATTTTGTGTTTGAGATCGTGTGTGTGTATGTGTATGTGTATGTGTATGTGTATGTGTATGTGTATGTGTATGTGTATGTGTACATGTGCGCGCGCGCGCGTGTGTGTGTGTGTGGCTGTGCGTGTGTGTTTGTGTGAATGGTGTTTAGTGTGAGCGTGTGAGTTTGTGTTTGTGTCTGTGTCTGTCTCTGCGTGTTCAATAGCACATTATCTGAGAATGTGTAGGGAGTAATCTATTACCACCCTATCCGCTCCCCGTGCCTGCAAATAATATGCGGTCAGCGTACCAACACATGTATCACCATTCACTATGTAAATAACACTCCGAACACACTGGAAGGCAGAACTGGTCAATTGTGACGCATCCTGGTGAAATCAGGCGCTCGTCAAGATTATGAAATCAAAGAAAGTGGCATTTTTCTGGCCGTTGGGCTTCTTTTTCAAATTTTTTTTGGGGGTTGGGGGAGGGGGGCTCAACACCATTGACGTCCATTTAAAAGCACATTTCTGTGTGTATGTTACAAGAAAACGATGACCAAAAGCACAAAAATGTAAGTTTTCAGTTTCCAAGGACTCTCAAAAACTATGGAAGTCACATAACTTGAGCAGCCATTTTCTCACGGATTTTACCTATGAAATCAGGCGACCCCCACCTCCTTCAATCACAAATATCTCGTCTTCAATTCAAGATGGATGGATATTTTTTTCACCACAGGCAAGGCAACTAAACAGGCTTTAAGATTATACCGATAACTCCATATGCCCGGAAATTGACAAGCGCCTTATTTCACCGCTTCGTAACAAAATTGTCTCACTACCAGTATAGGCATCTTCCATACGTGAAGCGTGCCACAAAACAAGAGAACCTCAACTTTTCTCCATGTATCGTTCGTAGCATAATGTTTTATGTCCGATACCGTCTTGCATATCTGTCAACTGAGCAAAAGGCAGACCCCCTCCCCCTCCCCAAGTCCTCACGTTTCCATCCCCCTTCCTCGAAAAGTAAGACAAATTTATAGATTGCTTTCGAAAGGAGGCGAATATGTTTCTGAGTGGCTAGCCGCCCGATCTGGGGTGGCTAGCGTTTTGCTACACGAACCAATTTGGTCGATTAGCCTGACGCTATACTGGCCCGGGTGATTTCTGCGCATGTTCCGGGGAAACGAATTCGCTCTCTCTCTCTCTCTCTCTCTCTCTCTCTCTCTCTCTCTCTCTCTCTCTCTTTCTCTCTCCGCCAGCAGGCAAAATTGCTCGCTTTCAAGTTCAACTCAGCTCTGAAACATTTGTTTAGACTCGTATCACGGGCCGTCACGCGCTAAGACAAAGTCGCGCCCAAATCTTGCTCGGACGCGAGATAGGACAATTCAAACAAAGATTGTCTACTACCAAGATAATAAATTAACATTGCAACCCTTCTTTGGGCTTTTGTCCCACGCCGAGGCCGGGCCCGCTTTGCCGCTTAGCGCGTGATGGGCTACGTCACTAGGGGATGCAAGGTTGGTTTCTTTGCCGACTGCTTGTGGTGTGTGTGCGTGTGTGTG